CTAGCACGCGACCAAAGTAGAGCTGGGAGAACAGGAGGTCGTGAAGGATCGAACGCGCGTGAAAGCTTAGATAGCTATAAGAGTAATTATAAATCTACGAAGTGAACGGTGTACTCACTTGGGGCGATCACACTGCACACACAATGTGGTGCACGGACGTGTCGCCACCTGACAGTCAATAGAATAAAGTAACCAGTGACGCCAAAGACAACGTGCCAATACTTCGGATGAAATAAAAAGACTACCTGCCCGGCTAAATCAGTTATTCGTATAAATGTTTATAAGAAAACATCTCTCAGTGTAAGTCTGAAAAGACACCAGTAAACAAAGCAGACAACGTATGAGAGAGAGAGAGGGAACATGCGTGAGGCTATACATAAACATCAATGAGAAATAATACGGTGAATGAAGTAAACTTCTCATACAATACAAATTGAACCCCTTCCCCCTCTCCTCTTCCCTCTTCTCGTGGTTGGTGAGCATGTCGACGTACCCACCGGTTCTGCTTCTGCTTTTTGGCTCCATAGTCATTGTTCTTGCCATAGTATTCTAAACGAAATAATGTGTTTTGATCAGAAACGTGCTGATAATATTGAACTCTATGCAGCGACCCTCATCATCTTATTCACCAAGGTTGTCAGTCAGAACTCGCAGGGAACTCAAAGGTAGGGTCTGTGGAAGCGTCGCACTTTGTGTTGGTTATGAAGTCCACCTCAAAAAACTGTATTTCTACCAGATAAGTAAAATAGACCTCGAAGAGTTGAACGGCAAAAACTATAGGCCCTTTGCAAATGATGGGAACACAATATTAGTTAATAATAATAATCATGTCAGTGGCTCCATTGGACATTTTACTCTGAAGTCTTGATATCAGCTTGTTTTGGTTTGATATTATGCTGCTGTTGAGTGTTGTGTTCTGAGTAGTGTTTTGTCTGGTTTTGATAATGCATACCATAGCTTTTGTGGTGGTGAATAAACAAATGTTGCATTCTAATCATGTTTCTTTGACATTCGCCACTCTGTCAATATTTATGTGGACATTCGCCTCTTTGTCAAAATTTCTGTGGACATTCGCCTCTTTGTCAAAGTGTTCCTTGGACATACGCCTCTCTGTCAAAATGTTCTTGGACATACGCCCCTTTGTCAAAAGTTCTGTGGACATTCGCCTCTTTGTCAAAATTATTCGGGACATTCGCCTCTTTGTCACATATTAGATGGGCATATGCCATATTGAGCTATTAGTATATCTCAGGACCTATTGTAGATATTGATGTGCCGTGTGGTTCTGCATGTGTAACACATAATAAGGAACCATATGCCCCAAAAAACTCAATTTGACCAAATTGTGGACATACGCCCCTTTGTCAAAATTTTCCTGAACTGTAACTAGTTACAATTTTTGCCAAAAAAATGTAACTGTAACTGTTACGGCAGTCTTTCAGAAAAAGTAACTGTAACGGAAACTAGTTACATTTTTGGCAAGAATAACTGCAACTGTAACTGGTTACATTTGTAAAAGTAACTTTCCCATCCCTGTTATTCTGGGGTGTGTTTCAGGGCTGCCCGCTAGGTACTTCGGACTAACCCGAAAAGAGCCCGCCCGTCCGGGCTGTTCCGGGGGCTGATCATTTTTAAACGGGTTGTAGTCGCGGTGCTCCACCGTTACATCCCTTTCTCGAGTCTCCGGGGCAAATTCAAGGATGACGGGCTTAAGCGGGCCGAAGGCCCGCTACATCATTCGATCATGCTCTTCAGTAAATCGCGTGACAGAAGTGGTCGGGCCGCAGGCCCGACCATCGAAACCAGCAGGCCAAGCACGCCCGGACCCTGCCGGAGTTGCTGGCGGAGCGAAGCGGAGCTGGCAACTTCGCTGGCAACTTCGTTTAGCGGAAGGGCGGGCATGCTTGTTAGGCCTTCTTCTACAACTAATTGTTTACTCTAGCAATTTTTAGCTTATTTTCGTCAAAAAAAGGCCCTCCAGCGCCTATACAGTTAGAGATAGAGCCAAACGGACGACATTTTCGCCCGATGGGCTCTACTTTCAGAAGTTACTCCATAGAAGATCGTAAAAAAAAATCTAACTCTTTTAGCCTTTTCTGTTTCCTTCGATACCCCCATTCAGCCCCTTAGGGGTGGTTGGCAGGATTTGCCGTGGGCGTTTTGTTTTGTGGAAGTGAACCTTGAAATCCCCTGAAAATTTGAAGTCTCTAGCACATCTCCTTCTAGTGGAACAGACAGACAGGCACACACACAGACAGACACGAGGTCGTTTGCTTAATCCTGCTGGGTTGGTTTTTCCAAAGCAGACGGGCGGGCTGAAAACAGTTAAAACAATCAAGCTAAGCCCGCTTTTCCGCCAAACCAAGTTGTCATCTCCGCTTGGCTCCACCGGCAAATCGGTTCGGCAGAGAGCGGGCCTAGCTTGGCCTGCCGGCGGCGTCCAGGGCATGCCTCCGGCCCGTCCCTTCTGATTTTTTATGGTGTGATGCAGCTTCCATCGGAAAACGGGCTTTCGGCCCGTTTGAGTGACGGGTCGCTTTGAACCACCTTCTTGTCATCTACCTTTGGTGTCCACTTCGTAATCAAAACTCAACAAACGAAGCATTATTTTTATACACTAAACATCTTTGGCTGTGTTTATGCAGTTTGTAGCATACATACAAGTTATGAAAAATCCCTTTTAAGATTTTTATGTTAGCTTATGGATCCAATAACGCACCTATGAAAAGATATATAAGACTAGACCCAGAAGAAGCTAAATATACTTCTAGGCATACTCTGAAATAACTCCAGACGTGTCCGCAATGATTTCGCTTTAATTACTGATAGAAAGGCAGCAGCTTGTGAAGTACAACAAAACAATGAGATAAATGTTTGTTTGTTTTTGCATGGGAGTGTACACATTTTATTAATGATGTGCCACCATAAAATAAGCCTACTCCTCTGGTAAGAAGAAATATTTGAACCGACGGCATACTTCTCAGACAAAAGAGTAGTCCTGAAAAAAATGAAAAAGGTCCTGTTTTTTTCCCTTTTGGTAATTAAAATTCGCTTTTGAAAGTAAACAGTGAAACCCAAACAAAATTTTAGCCCAGAGGGTTCTTCTTTCACGATTTACCCCTTTTGAGACCATCAAATATTTTCATAAAATAATAGATTTATTTTTGGGACATTTTTGTGAGAAAAACTCCCTCTAGCGTCTTAACGGTGTGAGATAGAGCCAAACGGACGAAATTTTGGCACACAGGCCTCTACTTACCCGAGTTAACGCGAGACCATATAAAAAAAATTG